TTGAAGTTTCTTTATATCTGAGGATTAGAAAGCAAAAGAGATACAATTGTTAGGAAAATAAAAGGTAGTGTATCATCATAAAGTGAAAGTTTCAAGAATAGAAAGCAGCTAACAACACAAAGAAATAAAAGAAAATGCAAACTGAAAAACGGCCAAAGTCCTCTGCATTTTAAGAGTATTCTTTCTGATGAGAGGAGGCAGGGCAGGCAAAGAGATAAAAACTCTGAGCAGAGAGGAGAAAGAATGTGTGTACATACAAATGAAAGCTTAACAAAGAATTGAGTAAGAATTTGAGCTAGTGGATGTATGGTAGTGAAATAGAGGAGAGAAATTGCAATGGTAATTACACAGGCAGCAAAATCAATTACAAAGGTTTTTTTTAAAAAAATGAAGACATGGACTATGTAATTAAACATACAGATAAAATTGAATTTATTGGAATATAAATACTTTGTTAAGATAGTGTTAAAGATATTTGATATAGTTAAAAATCAGAATTTCTAAAATTGCTATAGAAATTAAGGTAATTTTAATGGAAATATCAGATTCACTAAGCCCAGTTTACTTTTCAAGTTTCTGTTTCTTAACATTGAAAAAAAGTTTTATAACCTTAAAGTTGTAACATGCTAAAATGCATAAATTAATAAATTTGTTAAGTATACCAAAATAACCAAATTTATTTATAGAAACATATATTTAAGGAAAAAGTAAGATACAAAGACAATTATGCATATTTTAAAGTATAGGTATAAAACAGATAATAACTAAAAATACCCTCTATGCTTTTTAATAATAAAATATTATTTTTTCATAGGAGCAAGTAGCTGTTGACCATTGTTTCCTCCATCAACAGAAATTGAAAAGTTGAGTGTGGAAAAAGAGCAAAGGACTTATATTCACTGTTACTTTTTTTGTTCTTTATCCTTTGTATTTTGTACCATGTCTAGGTATTAACTTTTCAAAAATGAATCAGTAAATAAAGTTTAAAAGACTGTTTAAAGGGGAGTTATAAAAGTAAAAAGGCAAAAATAAAAATTTGGAAAACTCTAATAGATGTTTTTTACTAACACAAAAGGAAAAGGCCATTAGAAAATTTAAATACTGATGTGATTTACAAAGATTTTAAGTGGCATAAGAGATAGGACATTGAATTTTAAATACATACTACATTTTACTATGGTTTGCCTTATTTTTTGCTTGATTAAAAAAGACTAATTTTAAATTCAGACACGTTAGGCAGCTAAATGCCTGAAGAACACACAGTAAATGATCTAGATCCAAGTTTGTTTTCACTTCTCTGGTTCAAGGAGAAAATACAAAAGAGAATAGCAAAGAAGAAGGAAGAGACCTTTAAATTCCAGGAGGGCATAAAGCTATATGACTCAAGAAGAAGTTTATTCAGCATGACATGTTTAACACATACTTGCTATTGGTCTCATTATTCAATTTTTTTTCAATAACATTTATTGAATACTTATGTCAAGCACTGTCGTAGGCACTGGGGATAGAGCAATAAACATAATACAAAAGACTTTTGCCCTCACAGAGTTTAAAACCTAGTGGGGAAGACAGGAAATAAAAAAAATAAAAAATAAAATATGTAGTATGTCCATAGTAAATTATTAAGGAGGAAAAACTGAAAGCAGGGAAAGGGAAGATGAATGTTAGCAGGAAGGAAAGGCCACACTTAGAGGATGACATTTGAATAAAGCTATTAGGAAGGTGGTACAAGGCAAGCAATCCAGATATCCTAGGAATAAACATTCCAGGAAAAGAAAGTAAGTGCAAAAGCCATGAGTCAGGGGCACGCCTAATGTGTCTAAGAAACAGGAAGACTATTGTGATTTCAGAGGAATAAACAAGGGGAAAATACAGGGAAGAGTTTAAGGAGGCAAGAGAAGGTCAGATCATTGTAGCCCTCATACATGAAAGTAAGAATTTTGGCTTTTATTCTGAGTGAGATGGAAAGGCTTTGGAAGGTTTTGAGCTGAACTGTGATATGCTACAACTTACATTTTAAAGAATCATTCTGGCTACTGTGTTCAGAATAAACTGACGGGGAGCAAGAACTGAAGCAGGGAGATCAGTTAGGACTCAGTTGCAATAATCCAGACAAGAGAAGCTAAAGGCAATAGGATTGGTTGATGGGCCAGCCATGTGTTATGAGAAAAAAATAAGTGTCAAGGATGACTCCAGCATTTCTTCTCTAAAAGAATAGAATTGCCATTCACTGAAATAAGAAACACTGTGGAAGGAAGAGTTTGGGAACAAATATCAGAAGCTCAGTTTGGGCCAGCCATAGTAGCTTTGCAATGCCTATTAGTCATCACAGTGGAGAGGTTGAGTAAAAGTTATGAGTCTTGAATTCAAGGAAGAGATCCACAGACTTCCTTTTTTTTTTTTTTAATTACAAATGTCTCCAAATTATAAAATTACAGAAGAAATTACAGAGACCTTTAGATCTTGAGTTTATTTTTTGCCCATTGCCTGGATAGGAGGTATGGTTTACTGACTGTTCCTTTCTGAATATGCTGTGCTTTTAAAATAATATGTTAAATAGGCTTATCTAGCAAGGATAGTTTCAAATAATGATATGTTTTACAACAAAACGGGAAAAATATAATTTCAGATCCTGATATCCTATTCCGTTTAATCCAAAAGATTATTTTTAGCAGGATAAACTCTGCCACAATTATGTGTCAATGTAAATGTGTAATGCCTTGTGTTATTAAAAAGATTTCCCAAAATGGTGACTGACTCTATAAACATTCTTTTATGTGGCAATTTAGATGGAACTAAAGATCAACTTTATTGCATATTTTGTTTTCCATTTTACTTAACTAAATAAGGTTAAACAGGTAATATTAACTCAGAGATTTGCATACTTAAGGTACAGACTATCCACAGCACTTTTTCAAGCTGATTTAATATAAGGCTCTGCTTCTCTTCTCATGCTCACAGTTATGGATCCAGAAGCTTGTAACTTTAAACTGAAGTAACACAGAGATTTAGTCTAAGGTTGAATAAAAGCAAGTAGTTTTTAAAGTGGCTTTTCATCATTTAAATATTTCCTCTGATATGAAAGCACTCGACTTTTACATTTTAAGAGCAAAGATAAAAAAGAAAAAGGTGGAGAGAGGATGGATATCAGTTTAAAATGTCTTCTATCACAGATCCCATGCAGCCTTTCCAAACCTGGCTATGAAGAAGATGCAAAAACACAAGAGCTAAAATGGTGCCTTCCTCCTATCCTCCAACTTTCTGTTTCTGGAGAAAATAACTCACAGAACTGGGCAGGAGGGGGAAGGTCCTGTGTGCTTATGTTGTGTATTTGGTTGGAGGTAGTTGAGGAAGAAGTGCTTGAGGAATTACACTAGCAGGAGTAAGTTTTGCATCTGGGGAGGTGTCATCCCTAGAAGAAAAGCTCTAGAGATCAAAGCTAGTAATAGGGCAGTGGCATGGAAAACCATTGTAAGCAGCACAGTGTGTGTTAGGAGTTTAAACTTGCCACATGTTCAATCAGTTCAGAATATGAAAGAACCAGCATTGAGTGGTTGTAAGTGAATATGCTCTTTATTAGAGAAAGGATAAAAGTATCCATAAAAGCCTTTGTGGTACTAGGAATAAGACTAGAAGCATATAAACCTGTCCTAGAGATACAGACCTGAGAACAAAATTAAATATTCACACAGAGTGACAGAGAACAGGGCAAAGGACTAAGGTTGTGAAGACAGATCTTGATTGTGATGAGATTTACCTTGTATGACTACAGAAAAATCCAACATGGGGCTAATAATAATAAAAAGAAGGAAGAGGGAAGGCAGGACCTTTTAGGGAAAAAAAGAAACATTTTTATAAAACTCATAAGAATAGCATACTTCTGAAAATAATCTAATGCAAAATCCAGAACAAAATTTCAAGAAAAGTCAAACATTCTAAATAGTTATTAACTACTGAGTAGTTGCTATGTATCAGTAAGTACTCCTTATTGAGTAGTTACTGTGTATCAGAGCTGTTACAATACGTGGTATGTATTAGTTTATTTAATCCTCACAATAATCCCAGGAGATAACATTATCCCCTTTTTAGAAATGAGGAGCTTGCCCAGGGGCATAAAGCTATTAAGAATTCAAAAAAGCCGGGCACGGTGGCTCAAGCCTGTAATCCCAGCACTTTGGGAGGCTGAGACGGGCGGATCACTAGGTCAGGAGATCGAGACCATCCTGGCTAACACGGTGAAACGCCGTCTCTACTAAAAAATACAAAAAACTAGCCGGGCGAGGTGGCGGGCGCCTGTGGTCCCAGCTACTCCGGAGGCTGAGGCAGGAGAATGGCGGAAACCCGGGAGGTGGAGCTTGCAGTGAGCTGAGATCCGGCCACTGCACTCCAGCCTGGGCGACAGAGCCAGACTCAGTCTCAAAAAAAAAAAAAAAAAAGAATTCAAAAAAAAACATAGCTAGTATGAGACTGGAGTAGAAATTTGCTTCTTTAGGCAGGCAAATAATAGGAGTATTGACGGGGGGCATACTGTTCTAGACACTTGGGATATATCAGTGGGGAAAAGAAAAGAATTCTGCCTTCAAGGAGCTTATATTCTAGCAAGGTATAAATTACAGTTTAAGAAGGTAATGAGTTCTATGAGGGCAGAAGAAAAATTAGACTAAGATATTGAAATTGGAAAGTATATGGTGGGGGATGGAAATTAATGAAGAGAGCCAAATTTGAGGTGGTTTTCAGTACGTCTGAGAATGTTTGCTTGTAGTAAGATAATTTCATCCAGTCAAATCTATTTTGTGAATTAATACATTTAGTCCTCCTTCTGCTATCAGATGCTTTGTTTTTATGCTTTCTTGATGCTCCTTTCTTTCCTTACATTTTGCTAACTAGCCCATTTTTTGTTATTTCTCTGTCTAAAGTATATTTTATTCTACTGATATTTAAATTATGTATATCCTACATTTTTCTACCAATGTCAAGCATAGAAAGTAAGCTCCATAAGGCAAGGTCTTACACATGTCTTCTTTATTCTATCACTGAGCCAAAGACAATAGTAGGAGTATTACAGTATATTTGTTCCATGAATGAACAAATTAATATTATTAACTACATAATCATAACTCTGCTCTGGGGTCAAAGATAGACTCTGGAAGAAAAGATAAAGATTGGAAAGTGAACGCAGAAAAAAGTGAGAAAGAATGTTACAGAGGAGAGAGTCTTTATTCCAATCTTAATACAAATGCTGTGACACTGAAAAGCTTATTCATCCCCTCTGTACCTCTATTTTTTCACCTGAAAAATGGGGGAAGTAGATTAGAACAGTAGTTCATGATGAGCCACAGATCCTTTTTAGAAAATAAAGGCTATCAATTTTCTCCACAAAAGGATTACATGCATATATCATGAAAACTAATAAGTCAACATGTTTTATCCAATCATGAAATGGCTTTAATGTGTACATTTTTCAATGACATGAAAATCCATAAAATATTTTATAACTTTTAAAGGTAATACAATAATTTATACACTCAAAAAAAATATTCTTCACTTTATAATAAAGCAAGCCCCAAGCCCCCAAGCTGGAAGAACATTTATCCAAAGAAGACAAAACATTTCTAGATGTTGTAAAATATTTTGAAATATGAAAGTCAAAACTTTTCTTTTAAGTTTCCATAACACATTTGTTTCAGATAAGGATGAAGTTGTTTAATCCTTGCTTTTCTTGACAAACCAATCCTGATTGGCCTACTGCATGTCTTAAGAGGTCGTACTCTTGAAATGCCATGTGGGAAGTGACTACCTAAAAATATAAGACAATAAAAGAGTAAAAATTATCAAGTTTCTATGCCTAAAAATCTTTACTTCTAATCATCATATTAGCAACATTTACTGAATATTTACTGAGCACTTATTATTTATGTGCCAGGCACTATACTTTAAATGCATTATTTTATTTAATTCTAGCTCCAGTTTTAAAACATGAAAAACATAAGCACAAAAAGTTAAGTAACTTGCCCCATAAAACACAGCAACTAAATAAATTCAACATTCCAATCAGGCAGTCTACCTTAACAACAATCACAACAACACCGTATAGGTTTTAAAACCAACTTGATGTAGCTTTAAACACCGGTCATTTTTCCTATTGGTAGCTAAACAACTATGCTGTATTGTTAATGGTTATGTTTGGTTTCTAATGGAGGTCATTGTCAGTAATAGAACACAAATGTACTCCATCTATTATGCATCAATAGAGGGCTTTGAGTTAGAAATTGTTCTTTAACATCATACTATACCATTTTCGAAGATGTCCAAAACAGTTCATGGAGATACACACATCTGTTACTAAATCAGTTATGTAAAGTCAACTACCTCTTAAAATAAAATACAATATCTCTAACTTTCAGGGGTTTTTTAATAAACTGTGAGGTACATATGTAAAACCAAACATGTAAATCAAATTTTAGTGAATCTTTATGACCTCAATATAATAGCCTGTTATACCAAAAACAGTGTAATCAAATGTTAAATCTCACAAAAGGTTAGTAGCGTGATTTTTACTAACCTGAACCAAAAAGAATCTGTGTGTATCTATGTAAACCTTAATGAAGTAGAATACGAAATTAAACTACATGTATAATAAATAGGGAGAAAAACAACACAAAATAGATATAAATCAGTTTATTATATTTGATTCAATATTAAAATTAGAAAATTATAAAAGGTTAAAGAAAAATACATTATTGCTAGATCTTTTAAAAACTTTGAACACAAAAGGATTATTTAAATAAGACAACACTGTTGGATCACAAGATCCCCCATTGGTCTAAATGATATATAAAGCACGGGTGAACTGACTGGTTGGCATATAACACGTGCTCAAAATAATTTCAGTACCGTACTTGCCTTCACACCACAGAGAGAAGAGAGAGATGGAAAGAGAGAAGGGATCCACTGAAGACATTTAGTAGTCAATGGAAACGTTAAGAGAAGAGGCATCATGATGGCAGGTGGGTGGGTATCAAAACTTTTCAGGATAACTGGGATCTTTCTGATGCCTTTAAAATGACTGTGTATAAGCAGGCTCCCACTCTAACTAGGCAGATCATTAAAATCCATTCATATTAACTCCATTCCCCAGGATCTTCCAGCTTTTCTCTTACTGTGGATTTTAACAAGCCTCAGGAAGATCACTCAACTTTTGTGCCCTTTGAAAGTGAATCCAAGACTGCCATCCTAACATAGTATTAAATAATTCTGGCTGAATTCATACAATATTTTTCACATTTCACAACAAGTCACTTTAACTTGTGAAGGCAGAATCACATTGCTATGTGGGTTTAGATATTTGAAACAAATGTAATGATTGCTTTTCCAATGTGCACACATTCTTTATCCTCCTCCTACATCTATTTTATTATCACAATTATAATCATGAATATATACTCCCAAGCTTCCTTTATTCTATATCAAAATATATTGCTAAGCCAATTTCTTCCTTTCTTTCTGTCCTAGAAGAAGCAAACCCTATCCTTTCCAGGCTAGGTCTTGCCATCCTATTTTTTGACTCAAGGAGTATTGTTCCATCAGTTATTTCCTTCATTCCGGGGAGAACAGACTACCTGTGGGCTTTTGATCATCCAGTGTTTTGATTAATCTTTAAAACTATTACATTGTAAGCTAAGAAAAGAGGAAAAGATACAATTCTGAGGTGACAATAAAAGTATCAGAGGTAACATTCTGCTGACTATGAGAACTCAGAAAAAATGTTTTGAGACATGATGCATGACTTAAGATGTCTTAGTAACTATATTTAACCTACAATGTTACTCTTTTTAGATCTAACCATGTTGTATAATACCAGAAATTTCTGATGGGATTATAACTTTACCTAGTTCCATAATTTCAATCCTACCACTACCCTACACTCTTGGTACCACAAGGTGAAATGAATGTTAGACATACTGTGTTTTATTCTGATATTGTAGATCTACTGGGCAAAAGATAAAGTTCATTGTTTAATTTTTCTTTAGTGTTTTTTGGTTTTTTGGTTTTTGGTTTCTTTGAGACAGAATGTCACTCTGTCGCCCAGGCTGGAGTACAGCAGCTCAATCTAGGCTCACTGCAAGCTCCGCCTCCCAGGTTCACGCCATTCTCCTGCCTCAGCCTCCCAAGTAGCTGGGACTACAGGTGCCCACTATCACGCCTGGCTAATGTTTTGTATTTTTAGTAGAGATGGGGTTTCACCGTGTTAGGCAGGATGGTCTGGATCTCCTGACCTCGTGATCTGCCCACCTCAGCCTCCCAAAGTGCTGGGATTACATGCGTGAGTAATCATGCCCGGCCTAGTTGTATTTTTAATGTAACCAAAAGTATAAACATCAGTCAAAAATCATGTTAACATGACTAAATGGCAAATATTTTTTACTTGCATAATAAAATGTCCATATAAAATCTTCATAGCAATGAAAAGCATACAGCATGTTCTCTATGCTCAATGTTGTCTATATATATTTAGATAGATAGATAGATAGATAGATAGATAGATAGATAGATAGATAATTGGGAGTAACATCTCATCAATGGAAACCCAACTTATCTAAATATCTTTTTTGGTTTTGTAAATATTGCATATATTAGATGTGTAAACTAGGCATATACAACACTTAACATATAGTCATTTTAAAACATCAATACAAATATCTGAACATAGTTTTGCAGAATGCATTTCCCAATAATATTCTAAATAGCATTTTAACTGTTACCCAATTTTTAATTATTAGAATTTATTAGTATAATATTAATGCTTTCAAAAAGTGCTAAAACTTTGTATTTATTTTGAACAACATGAATATCTATACTTTCCTCATACTAAAAATACCACAATGCAATAATCATCTTAGAAGTTATCCTAAAAAGTAACCACAATGTTACCTCCTCTCAATAAATATTTAAATTCTTCTTTACATTCATCAGGGAGAAAAGCAGGTCTTTTAGGTAAAGGTGTTTCACAATCTGAAAATAAAGAATGGTATGTTACAGCAAAAAATAACTTTTATATAAAATAACAGTATAAACAAAATATTTCCTTCAGTTGGCTCCTAATATTTAGAAAAATGAAGTAGGACTCTTCAAAGCTCCTTTTTAAAATTAACTTGTTTCCTTCAACTTCAGTATATTTTTGAACATTTGAATACATCTTTATGAGAAAATACTGTGCACCCAGCTAGCAGCTGCTGAGAAATTCAAAGTTCAAGGTGAAGCTGTGTCAAAGTTCAAGGTGAAGCTGTCTCAAACATTCAAGAAAACACACAGACTCCAACTGTACAAGAGGAGAGTGAAGAGGAAGAGGTTGATGAAACAGGTGTGGAAGTTAAGGACATAAGGCCGGCTCAGTGGCTCACGCTTAAAATCCCCGCGCTTTGGGAGCCCAAGATGGGTGGATCACGAGGCCAGGAGCTGGAGACCAGCCAGGCCAACACGGTGAAGCCCCCATCTCTACTAAAAATACAAAAATTAGCTGGGTGTGGTGGCAGGCGCCTGTAATCCCAGCTACTCGGGAGGCTAAGGCAGGAGAATCACTTGAACCCAGGAGGCAGAGGTTGCAGTGAGCCAAGATGGTGCTACTGCACTCCAGCCTGGGCCACAGAGCTCGACTCTGTCTCAAAAAAAAAAGAAGTTAAGGACATAGAATTGGTCATGTCAGAAGCAAATGTGTTGAGACCAAAGGCAGTTCGAGTCCTGACCCTGAAGTACAAGTAATGATATGGTAAATGCTATTGTGGAATTAACAATGTAACCATGTGAAAACAACTTTTTTTTTTTTTTTTTTGTGGTGTTTCCAAGGAGTAACTGCAGCTTGCTTTGAAATTTGTATTGTTTCTATCATAAATAAAGCTATGGCTTCTTGCTGGGGGAGGGGGTGGGGGGAAGAAAGAAAAAAGAAAATAGTCTGCATCAATAAACATTGTCTTGCATTTTATCTCTACCTTCCTTCTTTTTTGTCAGAATTATACATTTGGCCTACATAGAAAAAAGCAGTAATTTTTCTAGCATGAGAAAGAATGTTTTAAAATGAATTTCATACCTTCCTCAGAAGTAGAATAAAGTAATTCTTCCTCTGATGTACTTGGATAACAACTCTCATTAGGAACTTCCTGTTCTCCATTATTGGGTACAGTTTTCCATTTAAATAAACTTTGGTGACTTTTACACGTATTAGGACCTGCTGTAGTATCACAGAACGAGGAAGATGCATTTATTTTGTTGACTACAACCATTTTCAAATCTTTTTCTGTCTCCATTTTTACCTCCTCAGCATCATTTTCTCCAAAGTAATTTTCTTGCCCATTGTTTGTTTCCACAGTGCTTAGAATTTCATTTTCCTTACTAATTTCATGAAACATACGAAGTTCTTCAAGTACTAAATCAAATTTTCTCTTCATCTCAAAATCTTTTACTATTGTCAGAGCTTCTGTTGATAAATATTTAGCAGCTAAGTCCTGAAAACATTCATCATTCCCTTCACTCAGACCAGTTTCAAACTGATGATTAACATATAATACAGAGTCATTCTTTCTACGAAGATCCTTTGAATTAGCTATCTCCCTTTCTGGCAAAATACTCTCATATTCATTTCTATCTGTTACATAATTTTGATTAAGGTATTTATTTTCTTCCACATTTACTTCCCTACTTATTAATGAGACTGACTGTACAGAAAACATATCATCCATTGGAAAAAAACTATCTTTCTCTTCCTTTTCTATCTTAGTATCTTTGTGAATTTGGAAACTATTGGTTAAACTTTCAGCTGTGACTTTTACTTCCTCTTTCAAAATTAAGTCATATTTTTTTTCTTCTATTTCACTTAACAAGTTACAAAAATTTAGTACTTGAGTTATAGAAATGGTACGAGTCTCTTCATTATGGATTGTGTTGTGGCTTCTTGGTATGGCCTGTTGCCTAACATTGCAGAAACCTTCAAATATGTGCTCACAATTAAAGCTACTGATATTATGTCCCTGTTTTCTTTCCATATTTAAATCTTGTCCGTGCATATTTACTTCATAAAAATTTTCATTCATATATCCATGGTTGTTCTGTATAAATTGAGGACAAGACTTAACAGATGTTTTAATAGTACTAGAACTATAGTGAGCCCAATTTTCCACATTCATGAGTTGTTGAGGACAACTCATATTCCGACAAGTAATTTCTCTTATTAAAGAAATTTCTTCCATGTCATCAAAGTCCATTAAAAGGGGAATTTTTTCATATGATTCAAAAATTGACAAACTTGTATTTTGAGTTGTCGTACTGAAGGAATTAATGGATTTTTTCTTAGACTTTTCAAAAACGTGTTCAATTCTAAATAACTTCCTTTTCTTTAACATAGGTTTCATATTATCTTCTAATAGTCTTGAAGAAGTTAAAATCCTTGCTAGATATGCAGTATAATTTTCCATTATAATATTTTTTGGATACTTCAAATAAAGCATCCACTTGAAAATGCATTCCTCTTCTAATTCAAAATCATTTTCAATTCTTGTTAAAGAGTCAAAGTTATTAAGCAAAAAAGCTATGTTAGTTTTCAATATAATATCTAAAGGTTCTGAAACACTGTCTTGTAAATATATGCTTAAAAGTCCATTCTTTATATTTGTATTCATGTTTCTGGTTATTAGATTTTGAATACCAATTTTACCAATTTCCTTTTTACACTTCAAAATGTTATAGCAGGTTAAAATACTATTATCTTTTTGATTTCCTGAAATACTTTTATGGAAATAAAAAATTTCTACAATGAAACTTTCAAAAGGGTTGTTCACGTGAAAGACTTTTTGTGTAGCATTGTATCTCAACTGTACAGTATTATCATTTTTTCCTTTACCATTTAGCCAAACAGTCATTATTAAAGCTATTTGACTACCTAATATTTTTCTTATGAGAAGCTTTGATTGTTCTTCATGTACATTCATGACTTTTGTACAGCGGTAATCTTCCTTGCTTAAAAGGTCTATTTCTGATAATAATAGCCAATTCCATTTTTCTTCAGTTTTTTTCATATTTTCACATTTAGTCTTGTAATTATTTATAATCCAACAATTTCCTCTATTTCTTCTCAAAATATGTCTAACGTTACAGTCCCAGTTTTGAGATTTTTCCAACCTGGTAGGTATGTAACTGTCCAGACATTCTGCTTCCTCCCAATTTGCATTTTCTAGTATAGCGAAATTCTTTCTAGAGTCTCTTACATCACATTTGATACTACGGTAGTTACAGTAGTTTGAACTGATCAAGTCTTTTCTCTTACAAGTATTTTGGCTGCTGAGTGATGCGTAGTCATTTTCATAACATTCGGAAAAAATATTTTCCGCTTCTACAACTTTTTTATCATTCTGTAACTTTTGCTTCTTAACATCAGGTCTATTTTGGGACCAGTAAATGTTTGTGAAATCCCTAACATATGCCTCTTTTTTGTCATTCTTTTTCTTCGCTATTTCCTTTAAATAGACAGAGGACATTTTGCTATTTAAGTCCGTTGGAAACTGAGGGACACTTATTGTGCTGCTATCTCTAAAATAGCTAGGTTTGGCAATTTCCAAGCTGGGCTGGTTTTGAGATTTGGATATTTTTAGTACCGATGATGAAATGTTATTTTCTCTTTTATTTGATGGCATAACACTGTCAGCTTTACATCTGTTCTTAATTTCATGAAATGGTGATTTAGTTTCCTTGTAAAAGTTAACATCTAAAAATGGATTTTCTTTGTGAACATTGTCTCTTCCTTGGACAAACTGTTGTTTTCGATTCTCATTTCTAATTCCATGTATATCGTGTATAGAGGTGCTGGGCAGAAGTTGACTAAACCCTGCTTTGGAGCTATCACTGTGGTGCACACTGAAAGCCTCTGTGTCACGCAGTCCTGCCTCAGACCTTCCTGAAGCCCTCAAATCAGAATCAGGACTTTGTGAGGGGGGAGACTGCAAACAGCTACTCATCTGGAATTTGAGATTTGGGCATCCCAGGTTACATATCTGCTTCCCACTGACTGATTTCTCCACACACGAGTCTGTGGAGTTATCAAAAATCGCATTCGTTGAAACAAAGAGTCCCTTGAAGGGTCTAGGCGACAACTCCCAGATTTTTTCCACCTCAGACAAGCGAGGCACCAGAGGCAGTCGCCAGCCCGCCTTAGAGACACCGCCAGGCTCCTCAAGACAGAGCCGCTTGCTACTGGGTGGTTGGGAATCCGATTCCTCAGGAGGCGTTAAAGAGGAGGTAGGCTTTCTGAGCTCGGCCATCCGAGGCGTGGGCTGAGTGAGCGACACCACAGCGAACAGAAAGAATCTCTCCGAGGTTCCGGCGGCGCGCCACTCTTTAAATAAGGAGGGCGGGCCACCCTGGTCACGCCCCCGACCCGCCCCTCAGAGCCTGGTCTCAGCCTGATCTCAGGGTTTGCCCCACCCCGAATCCGCCCCTCCACAGCCCCAGCCTCAGCCCCGCCCGCCACCCTCAGCCTCGCCCGCCACCCTCAGCCTCGCCCGCCACCCTCAGCCCCGCCCGCCAGCCTCAGCCCCGCCCGCCAGCCTCAGCCCCGCCCGCCAGCCTCAGCCCCGCCTCTCCCTTCCCCCACCCACGCGCTCCGGTTGTCTCCCCACTGAAGTTCCGAGCACCCTGGGCCGTTACATTGTCTCTTTTTAGCGCCTTTTTCTGATGCCACGACTGTAGCGAGTCTAAAGGCTTTTTTCTCTCTGGTAGAACGAAGGGGAAAAGTTAGAATCTCTCACTTAAACAAAATTTGTGAATGGTAACAACTTTATTTTTTAAATTCTAAAATTTTGTTTACCTCAGAAACGGCATCTCCACAACGCTCGAGTGACTCGCCAGTAAAATCGTGTAGTTCTGTCAGCACCAGACCAAATCTCTCTGTGTATGGAAAAATTTTTTAATCATTCCAGCGGCATTTAGGATTATATTAATATTTCCACTTCACTAATAAAGTGTGTTTGGTGGGGGAAAGCCACCAGTATTTAACAGTCTGACTATCTGAGGAAAAACTGTGGAAATTATTATCCGGATAATTATTATTCTTCACTTAAGACTAAAAAAAAATAGTTTACTATGGGCTGTGGGGATTTCTTCTCAAATATTGTGGATAAAATTATTTAGAGATAAAATAATGTATGTTTGAACTACTCCATTTAGTGTAAACATAATAATAATACAGTCTGACTCATACCTACTAACAAATTTTTAGATGATATTTCTTGGGTTTTTTTTTTCCTGCTTTGAGAATCATTTATGATTTCCAGTCAATTCTGGTTTTTGTGAATTCTATAATCATAAAGAAAATATTTTTCAAAATGTTTATTATTATATACATGTTTCTTAAGAAACATGTAACTAGCGCTCAGTAATAAACACCTCAGTCCCCTTGGTGGTTGTTTCAAGCTTGGTATGTTTTATATCACATTTTATGTTAAAATTTATAATAATGTGCAACTGGAATCCTAACTTCAGAACCCATGGGAGCATAGATGGCAATATATAACTAGCCTTCTACTTTAGGTAATAAGATGTTCACCAGTTTCATGTCTTTTAAATACTTAGATACACTGTGATTATTTCAATGTAAATTCCTCTAGAGAAATGTTTACTTAAATTTGTAGAAAGCCTTGCAGCATATGCACTTCATTAACACTATAAATAAGAATGTGGCAGTGGTTCAGATTCCACATCAGTGAATTCTCCAAGTTCTACTTCTGTGTATTTTAATGTTCTATTGCGTTTTTATCTCAGATTTTCCACAAATCTATATTCTTTTCTAATCCATTCTGTTCTATGCCTATGGTAAGCCCATAAGGGGTGACTCATATAGCTAAGGTGTATATAATTGATGAACTAGTATGATATTAGGATCAAGATTTTTAAAATCTAAAGTAAATGCCATTGATTGTGATTTCTAGGCTAGATTGATCTGGAACTTGATGTTTCATTATTTCTTCAGCTAGCTAGTTTGCCGAAGGGCAAATTGTATCTCCATCATATCATTATTTAACAACTCTACATTGTTTAAGGATTAAAATTCAAATAAAACCCAGAAGTATTACATGTAACTCAACAATTGTTTGACTCGAAGACACAGAAACGTATAGTTATTTTCTCTATCCTGAAGAAACTTACAGCAATAACGACCAAAAAAAGAGTCTTTTCTTGCATTTACTTATTTAAACATTATACTAACGGCCACTGCCATTTCAAACAATACCTATTAAAACCACTGTTTATGTGGGTTTTTTCCTTTATTTTTTTAAATGCCACCTAGAAAATGAACCAGTTATAAGTGAGAAATGCAAAAAATTGTGTCAACTCATCATAATCAAAATATAAATGAGACTTGTCCAAATCTTACCGATGCCTCGAAGCCCATTTCAAATGTCACATTTTTCTATATTGCTTTACCCAACCCTTCCTTTGAAGTTCTGACCTTCCTTAATAACAGTAAACTGAGCTTTAAAGACCGCATCTATCTGATTTCTTTTAGCTTGGTGTCTTCTTATAGTTCAACTCTGAATGAATAAAAGGATTAATGAGTTCATGAGATAAACCCCATACTGAAGATATGACACAATCTCCTATTAGAGTTAAATCAGAAATTCACTCAATATAAATATCAAGTTGAGTGTCCTTAAGCATGGTATGCCACATCCTCACTACTAGGTCTTACTTAACTCTTTCAACTTCTTTTTCTTTTTTTTTTTTAAAAAAAAAAAAAAAAACAAGAAACAATTTGCCCCCATGCTGCCTACACCAGAATGTTTATTTTCTTGCTTTTTTATGTCTGTTCTCAAAGCCCTTCACTTTCTCCTCCTGGCAACTTCTTATTAAACCTTAAAGGGCCCTACTCAAAAGTTACCTTTTCTGTGAAAGCTTCTCTTCCTCCTCCCTGCTGTAGCCAATCCCTGAGCAGAATTACTTGCATCGTCATCGGTTTCCTATAGCAATTTATTTCTAACTGTAGAACACTTAAAATGTCTTATTGTATTGGGTTGTTTATATGTCCCCTCCACTAGGTTCCATTAATCAGCACAAGGATTTATTAATTTTTGTATCCCCAGTGCCTCTAAGTACATCAGTTAATTAAAAGAAATGAAATGACTCCACGGTTAATACTCATTTACCAATTCAGATGGATTTATGGTGTCTTGAAAGTGCCTTAAGTTTCTTGTTTTGTGTTATTTTTGCTTTAATGTTATGCGTTAGAGACTTGCTTTTATAATCATGTTAAAACACATTTAACATGAAAACTATGTTGAGCTATAACACCATAGGAGTCCAAAATGGACTTTAAATATTGGTTTTAGCATCATTTAAGTTTCATGGTAGGACCAGAAATGTGACATGGCAGTTTTTTACTTTTACTTCTTTTAATAAATCATGTAAGAGGTGAATAAATATGCTAAATCTAAAAGTTTGTTTCAAACTGAAAGATAATAAAATATATTTCAAATAGTTAAAAGAACCACTAACAAAAATATTAAAATTAAATACAGCAGTTAGAGAGGAAAACATCATCACTTACTAAAAATATTTAAAATAAATATGGTTATAAATAACACAAATAAGCACTTTTCATCAAGTCAATGGTAAGCACTAGGGGAAAATAAAATCAAGATACTGTGTACATTTATTTGCATATGAGATTAAGTTTTTATTAGAGCAGTAATGGTAATTTGCAACATAAATATCTTAAATATGACAACATATGTGCAAATGCTTTAAACTGTAAATCACCTTTTTGTCCTCAATGTTCATTAATGACATCATCATCTATTCAGTCTCCTAAACTAAAACTCTTAGTATTAGCCTAAACTTTTTATTTTTTTGTTTTACTATTTCCCCAAAATGCATCTCCTACATAGACATTCATCAGATCTTGTTGATTTTACATCAAATATGACCCTGAAATTAATCTCCCTTTTATCCATAATGTATCATCTTTATTTCAATCCGTCATTATCTTTTTCTGAGAATATTGTAATAAACCAATCTTCATTTTACTAGTCTCTTCTCAACTTCTGCCCAACACCATTACGAGAGTTTTTTTCTTAATAGAATATTAAATCATTTTGTTACTTTCTTAAGAACTTCTTTTAACTTTTGATGCCCTACAGAATAAAATACAAACTTTAATTTGACATAGAAAGTTCCTCATAGTTCAGTTCTAAACTGTTTTTTTCAGCTTCCACATCCACTCCCACAACACAACTTACTTTCTTGCAGCACTTAACTTCTTGTCATCCCTTAAAAGTATAAAGCCCTTCGCAGTTTCAGTCTAGGTCATATGCTGCTTCGTTTGCCTAAAGTATAGTGGCAGGTCTTACTTGGGAAAGTTTTCTGCAGTGATCCAAAGTTTACAATCATCTTCAGACACCTACAGTTTTATTTACTAACCTTTTTCTTTAACTTCTAAATTTCTCCTCATTATTATGTTATTATATTTTCTGCATGCTTAGCTAATTAGAAATAACCTTTTTCCTGAGTTCTAAGTATTGGAAAAACAGGTGGAATGTTCCACTATTTACAACATCCATTTGATAATCTAATAAATTTCAGCGACAATTTAAGAACTCTGTCACTGAAATAAAGCAAAAGTTTGTATTTTATTAGAATCCATGCAATTGCAAATAACACGTTTTTTAAAAATAATTATGAGTTCTTTCCAATTAGACTTTTGTAAAAATCTTTTCAAGATTTTTGAGATGACAAAATGTCCTTTTTTAATCACATAAACTTAAAATTACTTAGATTATTTCCTCCTTTTGTAAAGATTTTTCCTGAGATGAGTCACATAAATATTTAGTTGGATGTGGCAAATTTATATAGCTATCTTTTACTTAAAGTTTTCAAGGAATTACATATATTGACATTAAATAAAAAATACATTTAACATGAAAACTATGCTGAACATAATTTAATTTTATATCCTGAAAGAAATATTGAATAGTAGTTGGAGTAGAGTTGAATCAAACTAAGTTTTTGAATCTATAGTCCACTTATTCTTTGATGTGTAATATGAGCAAATTATTTAGTTTTTCTGAGACACAGGTTCCCATAAATGGGAATTAAAAAGTAGAACCTACCTTATAGGTTGCTGAGTAAAATAAATGAAATACAGTATATAAAGCATTTAGAAGAGTCCTGAGCACCCAGCCAATGTTCATTTAAAAACATTTTTAATTACAATAGCTATTATCCAAACTCGTAGTGTGCTGAGCTGACTCTTACAGATTCAGAAGAGTTGATTGTTAGCATCTCTTCCTAACTTCGTATTTCAGTAACTTCACATGGGTAGTTTGGAAGTATTTACATCACTGTAAATGGCTCATAATGGAAGTATTTATATCACTGAAATCAGCATATGCTACAGATCAGAGCTTTTTTTCTTTTTTTTTTTTTCTGGAAAACCAGTTGTTAAGAGTTGCCAGCATAGTACAGCATCAAACTCTGTCTTATGTTTCAATAATAATTTATATTATTTATACTATCTAAGTCAATTCTTACTACAAGCTTATAGCTGTAGTGAGCCAGGCAGTTTGTCTAGCTAATATTAAAGTCAGGCAATTCAACAGACTCTATATTTGATGCCAGGACATATGCAAAAACCTCATTTTAAAAAAAAAGAAACTGGTGGTAGTTAGTTTTCATCTCATTTGATACTTCTTTATGAGTGGAGAGTCCAAAACTTAACACATACAAAAAAGTAGCTATTTAATGTTTTAAGTTTGTTTATAGTTTCATGATTTCAGAATGCACATAGGTTCTGTTCACAGGAAAACAATGGATCAAAAGAATGCTCCCTCTATCATTATCTAGGACAGAGTATAGTCACTGCCTACTATCCATGACTAATCATTGAATCATAA